TGGTTGACTATGCACAACATTTCAAATAATCAATTGTATTTTTTTTTTACTAATTATAAAAAATATAAATAAATTCAATTAGATTAGTCCAAAAATATCAAAATCGCGTATAAAAAATCATAATTACAACAATAATTCATTAATTTTGAGGAAATATAGTTACGATTTTTCAAAATGATGATTTCTTTTTTTTTAATTATTAATAGAAACTATTCAAATTCTTGAAACAGTAATACAAATAATGACGAAATTTAAAAGAAAATTTTGAAAATTTAAATTCGAAACTTCCAATCTAAATGAAATGCAAATAAAGTTGCATACTATAAATTTGCAGAGAAATTATGTTAATAATTAATTTTCACAAATTTCTATATAAATCTGCTTTCATATTTACAACGATTTGGCACAAAGAAATAACTACATTTGATATAAATAATTCGATAATTAACGATTTTGATGAGCGCCAAAATGTCTCAACTGTTAAGTTTACTAAATTGATAATAGATGTCGCGTTAATAAATAATTAAATTATTTTGATGATAAAACCTGGAGACGAATCACGATTACTTAATATAATTTCATTTTAGTAATCATTCATTTTTATATACAGTGGAACCTCGCATAACAAGTATTTTGCAAAATGAATTGTAAGAAAGCGAGCGACGTTTCGCATAACGAGTGATGATGAGAAGAGAAGTTCTGGATTGCGTGCCTGCTACATCAAAATCCCGACTACCATAATCACGACTATACCGAAATCCCGACAGTGTCTTTTATTATTATATATTTCTACAATAACATTTTTATGGTAGTCGAGATTTCGATATAGTCGGGATTTTGACAGTCAGGATTTCGGTTGTCGGGATTTCGATATAGACCCTTTTCGAGTAAATTTCATTAAACGAGTAAATATCCGGAAATTTTGGAACGGATTAAACTCGTTAAGCGAGATTCCACTGTATATATAAAAGGATTTTGAATAGTGAAATTGTAAAGTAAGTTGCATACGTGGCATATTTTAGCATGTAATTTGGGGATCTATATCGTAAGCCCGACAACCAAAATACCGTCAATCAAATTCCCGACGTTCGAAATCCCGACTATATCAAAATCCCGACTGTATCAAAATCTCGACTATATCGAAATCTCGACAACCATATTCTCGACTGTATCAGAATCTCAACTATATCAAAATCTCGAATATATCAAAATCTCGAATATATCAAAATCTAGACTATATCGAAATCTCGACAACCATATTCTCAACTGTATCAGAATCTCGACTATATCAAAATCCCGACTATATCGATTTTTTTTTACAATAACATTTTTAAATTATTTTGGAGAGTAGTCACCTTGTGCTACACTTTAATTATTAATAACAATAAATTATTATTAATTTATTTGAGTTTGTTGAATTATTCTTAATAAACCTTAACATTATAAAATAATCGCAAATACAATTTGATTATTAATCAAATTAATTATTAATTAATAACAATTTGAAAGTGACTACGCTCCGGAATAATTTAAAAATGTTATTGTAGACATTGTCGAGATTTTGATACAGAAAGGATTATAGTTGTCGGAATTTTAATATTGTCAAGATTTTGATATAGTCGGGATTATGAACGTTGAGTTTTCGATACAGTCAGGATTTTGATATAGTCGTGATTATGGTTGTCGAGATTTTGATATAGTCGGGATTATGGTTGTTAAGATTTTGATATAGTCGGGATTTCGAACGTTGGGATTTCGATACAGTCAGGATTTTGATATAGTAGAGATTATGTTTGTCGAGATTTTGATATTGTCGGGATTATGGTTGTCAAGATTTTGGTATAGTCGGGATTTCGATACAGTCAGGATTTTGATACAGTCGGAATTTTGATACAGTCGGCATTTTGATATAATCGGGATTATGTTTGTCGGGATTATGGTTATCGAGATTTCGGTTGTCTGGAATTTGATTAACGGTATTTCTGTTGTCGGGCTTGCGATTGCCACCGATTATTTGTTAATACTACAAGCAGCGTAAATATAGATAGAAATTGTGATTTATAGTTGTTAATGTAGTGTATAGTTCGGATTTAGGATAGGATTTTTTTGTTGTTGTTTGGGGTTTTCGAAAACGATGCTCTCGTCGTCTTCTCATAATCGTAAATTTTATTTCGAAATAGAATTTTATGTTACAAAAACAGAAAACGAACAGTAACGAAAAAATGTCTAAACCTAATCATATCATATTTTTGTTTGTATGTATGTATATGTAAATGTGTAAGTGAAGAAGATCATTTGACCAGATCAGATTTGTCGATCAAACAACAATATTAATAACATACAAATTAATTTAGAAGTCAACTTGATGAAAATCGAATATTCGAGAGTAAGTACAAACGTGGCATCGATAATATATAAACCTTAATAATAAATAACTAGTAGACTTAGAAAACAATCGATCAACGTTTTCGTGAGGAAAAAAATCCTCTTAAAAAAAAAAAGGAAAAATCTTTTAAAGCTTAGCCTTTTTCTTTACAACCTGATTGAAATATATATAAATGTTACGTTTAATATCGCTGTTTATGATGATTGCAGATAACGACAACCTACGAAGTAAGTAAAATAAACTTATAGAAAGAAATAATGTAAATCTATAAAACGGAAACGGAACTAGGAATGAATCAATCATCAAATATAAAAAAAATCTAAAAATGTACCAACAGAAATAAAATATTCGTAAAACGTTCATATTCTAACTAGAGCGATTCTTGGTCGCAAAAACTTTGTAAACAAAACAAAACAAAACACCGCCTATTCAATTGTCTATCACATGTTGTTAACTTGATTACGAAAGACTACAGACTAATTTACAGATCGAATCAACAGTATTTAGTGATAACTTCAGATTTCAGCAGAACTTCGCCGCTCGATTTCATCGCACTTATGTATAAATATAAATGTGTATAATTAATCTAAAATATATTTTGCGATTCAATTTTTTTTTGTTTGCTTTTGGTGTCTTGTTCGTCTCTCGTTTGTTTGTTTTTTTGACACAGTTAGCATCTCGAAAGGCTTTCTCCCTCGTGCGAAATATATAGAGACATGAAGAGGGAGAGTAGAGAACGAGCTTCGTTTTTGGCCCAAATAATTTCCTAAATCACGATTTAAGTGTAGTACTTAAATAATCAATCATTGATTAGTGTATGTATGATATAGTAAAATTATCAACATTCGACAATAGGAAGAAAAGTAACGCTTTCGTCCTTAAAAAAGAAATTTCACTCAATCTCTAGATTTGATTCTTAATTTGCTTAAGTTATTGAATATTTAAGGTATGGGAGAGTTGTTGGTTAAATATATACTTACAATATGTACACGTCGTTTTTCTTTTCATTTTCTTTTGCGTGCGTGTGTATGTTTGTTTGTTTATCTGGCAGTGTTCGCTTCAAACGAAGAGTTTGCAAAAGGACACGAATATCAGGGCGATCGTTAAATGCAGGATGTTCGATTGGGGAAGGGAACCGGAGGAGCAAGGTTCCTTCATCGATTCCATGATTCCAACGGTAACTTCCTTGAAGTCAGCGATTTGCGAACAGTGGTTCGACACGTACGAGGATAGGCACACCTTGGCCGTATCCAATTTCCTACAACAACAACAACAACAACAACAAAAAGTTGAAATAATTCTGTAGATAATCGATGTCTAATAATACTCACTCGCACAGTTCGTTCTTGGTGACTATGTTGGAATCGGCCGTCCTAACTTTGGTGGCGTCCAGGCAGCTTCCAAAAGCCTTGTTGTTGGAGAAGAGACAGGTAAGAGCGTCGGGCCTCATCACCTCTGCGAACAAAAAGAAACAAGTTAGATGTATCAGTGGAATTAGTGCTGTTGCAAAAGTAAATCACTTCTGTAGTTGTCTCCATCGTTGTCGCATAGGTACTTGAGCACGGAATCGATGGCGGAATGGGCGAACGTGGGAATGTAACTCTCCTGCGGCGGAAGACAAACCCGCAGCTTATTGATGACTGGACTGCTGAGGTTTCGCACCTCGATCAGACCCTTGCATCCCAGCTGCAGGTTATCCTGGATGTTCTTCCTCAGCATCTGCGCGGACGTCTCCAGATCTTTGTAGGCGTTAGGTCCGGCGTACTTGGTGCACTTCGCGTTCAAACTCTTGATGAACGCGAAACCCTTTTCTTCCTCAACCTGATCCGATCTCTTCGACAACCAGCCTGCAAACAACTCAAATCATTACAACTTTAGGACACGTCGCATGGGACAAAGTGTGTACGTGCATTGATTATATAACACTATGCAATTTTGGGTAAATAATACAAGTTTTTTTTTGCCAGTCTTGAATCAGAGAATTTCAAAAACATAATCAATTGAATAGAGACTTGATAGCGAGTTTAATTTTGTGATGATGATGAATTGATGAGTTTATTTTCTATTGAAATATAGAGAAGCGGGGAAAAGCTTAATTTCTGCAGATGGATGAAAACAAGAAACACACACATATATTTTAAAATGTTACTTTAGTAATAAAGATAAACACTTTATCAAGTTCGCAAAGAGAAAAAGTCCTCTTCAGTCTAATTCAGGTCCATGTTTCAGTCAAATAGTGTTTTTTTTTGTTGTTTCCATAGTGTAAATAACTGTGGGACAAGAAATTTGATTAATTCTATTCCAACACCTAATACTTAACTAAATTGGTCAACAACTGCAGCATTTACCCTCGAGTACATAGATATTATATAAATATATGTAAATATATATATATAATAAATAAATAAATAATAAAAAATATCTACTTACAAAAAAAAAACGGAAATCAACAAAAATTGTCACACTTTGTCACACTCTTTAAAACAAACTAAAAAAAAACTTTGTGCACTGTATCTTTGCGTTGCTGGTGCGAACGGTCACTCTCTTAGTCGGTATTAGTTCGATCGGTTAGTTCGGTTAGTTCAAAGCCATGCCTCTGTCGGTTGTTTCGCATTAGAATCGGAGAAAGAATGGGATTTTTGTTGGGTTTGAAGTCGAAGAAGTTGCAGTAAGTCTATTTATATTGGTGTAGCAGATAGCGAAGAATGATGAGGCGAAGGGTGGTTCTTTTTTCTTTTGGTAGCAGGTAAAGTATACAACATTGATTTTCAGTTTTGTTTCTTTTTTTTTCCATTTGTTTTCACACAGTTATATTATTATATATTGATATTTTTGTTGTTTTTCAAAAAGTGGTGATGTGAGGTAAAAAATTATAATAGATTTACAAATAAACATAATGGTGAAAAACAGTAACTAAGTAAAATTAAATTAAACAGTAAAAATAATTACATAATTAAAGAGAGAGAGATATATCACATCATGAAGAAACTACAATATAGTACTGGAAATAAAACGTAACATATTAAGGAACCCACAAAATAAAATGAAAAAAAAAGTATAGAAAATGATGAATGTACAAATTAGTCCGAGTTTGTCTGGTATGATTAAAATAATTCCCTTACATAAAAAAATCTATCTATCTTTCTATATATATAGTATATAAATGTATATATACACATAAATTTATCATAAAATATATATAAAAAATGTAATAAACGGAGATAAAGTACACTTTTGCGGTAAAATTAATGTAGTTGGAGGGATATGTCATGTCTTTCTTTTTTTTTTGGTTTTTCCTAACTCTTCGTTTATCTTAGCAACTATAATTGTTGTTATTACTTACTATTATATAATTTGTATGTTTGTTTATAACTGTTTGCCGCTTGCTGTTCTGTTTCTGTTTTTGTTTTTTTCAAACCTAGTTTAATTCAGTTGATGATTTTGGCAAGGAGCGAGGTCATCGCCACCAAGAGCAAGCTCGCAACGCAAATGGTACTTGAATTAGGGTCGGCTTCAAACTTACGGGTGGCTGCCGGCTTCGCCGAATCGAAGTTCTTGCAGGGCGTCTCGCGCCTTATGAACTTGAAGAGGGCCTCGATCACGTTCGCTGGGGTGTTACTCTCGCACTTCTCGAACTCCTTGACCGCGCACACCTGGAACTTTTCCATGTCGCTGTGATCGGAAAAAGAAGAAAACGAATTTAGTTTTAGATTTTTTTTCTTTTGTGATCGATTGCGATCTCACCTGCATTCCTGTTCGCCGATGGTGAAGATAGGTAAGTTGGTTATGGACAGATCCTTCGGGACTCTCGACTGGAAAGTTTGGTTGGCGCAGAACTGAATTCCGTCTTTGGATTGTTCCAGACATTCCAAACCGCTTTCAGCTACGAACACTGCGGAAAAATGAAAACATTAATATATAGAAATGTATGCACACACATAAACATTGATTTGAAATCCTCAAATTTCTCTGTTACGTAACGTTAACAAATTAAATTTTGATATTTCCAAATTACTTGAACTTCGTAATCAATTTATCAAGATTAGTCAGAGATAATATAATTACACACGCACACTTAAACTGATTAATAGGAAAATTTAAGGATTGGCCTATTTAATAGAAAACGTACTTTCAACTTTCATAGCTTTGTTTTAATTTTGTCATGAAATTAACGATTTTTCAGGTATTTCATCGGAACGCGTGTAATTAGGACATTGCTGAAAGCACGTCGTAAACGCCCCAAACACCTGTAATATAATATAATAGCATTTTCACACTTTCCATTGTGATTTCTCGGTCGATTTACGATGCGACTTGTAAATAACGAAAATGGAGGGTCATTAACCCAATTCCGCGCTGAATACTCCTGCAATTTTCAGAAGAGGAAAATTCAGGACGAAACGCGTATTGATAGTATAGTATATAAAATAAAGGTAAACAAATATCGATTTCATTCGAAGTTAATGAATGAATAGCAAATATTTGCTGTAAGAAGTGTTTACATAAATATTATATTACGTCCTCGCTGCGACGTTCGATGATATCAAGTAATTGCTACGTTTATAGAGCTGTATCAGGTTATTCAATAACGATGAAGTAGTTAATGAATTTATACTTACATGCCAAACGGTCTCCATCCTTGAAGCACGAGAAGTTTCCCACTTTGTCGACGACGTTGATGAGGACCTTCAGACTGGTCTTCTCCTCCGGCTCCAGACACTTCTCCACCTTCTTCAGCACGTCCGTCACGCACGCCATAATCTCGGGCCTCTTCTTGCAGTACTTTCCGAACACCTCGTCCATGGATCCGTCCTTCTTGGCCACCTCCAGCTCCTCCATGATCACAGTTTGGTTTACGTATTTCTGCACGCACTCCTGCACCGCATCCTTTGAATTCTATAAAACAAAACATTAGTAATAGGCAACTTGTGCTTCATTGATCATCTGTTAATTACGACAATCATTATTACATAATTGATAAAGTAATTATTTAAATATAACTAAGTAAGAAAATGCGTAAATTTATAATATTCTTACCCAAAGTTATTCATAATCACACAACAACAACAACAACAACAAACAGTGAACGATATCAGAAAGACATTTTGTGGTCGAGCGTCGCTTTAAATCAACAATTTAAGAAAAGACAATCGGTTGTCCTTAGCAACGCGATTTCTATTGGTGGATGTTTCAATGTATGCAACTGAAAGCGCTTCATCGAGATTTTCTTTGAAGAATCACTCTGTATAATATTATTATTGGAACTATTCCAAAACTAAAAATCTTTCAGTTTTCAGTGAATAACAAAGTATGAAAATCAATTGAAATACGCGTACGTATAAAACATCTGCTTCTAAATTACGATCGTCGCTTGATCCAATTGGTCCAAGGACGAAATTATCGATCAAGGAAAGCCTTGCTTTTAACAACGTATGCATTAAGAGAGAAAAAAATCTCTAAAACGATATAATTTAACGCAAATTGTTGATTACGACTTATCAGTTTCGTATCAATCCGATTGATTATCAATTCACACTAGATATTACAACATTCAGACTAATCCTATAAGCGCAGCACACTTTGAATTTTGATGCATTCTTAAATTTTCGTTAACATTCGAATTGCAGATGGCGTTGAAGTGCAAAATGCTTGAAGTGTATGCATCCAAAGTTGCAACTTACCACGATATCGTCGAAGGAGTTTTCGTCTCCGTTCTTCTTGCACTTCTCCCTCAAAGCTTTCTCGACTTCCTCCTTCTGCGGCAAGGCACTCTGGTTGAAGTTCTCCAATCCGGGAATCTGGTTCTTGACATTGTCCAAATCCAGATCCTCCAGTTGACAGAGAACGGCACCTGAAAAACAAACAAAAAAAAACAAAAGCATTAATCCAAGACGCTCGTAGATCAAATACATCAAAGTTGATAAACTCCGTTACGTAATCCATTGAATTTTTCCACAGATATCGCGATAACCTTGCGGACAATATTTGCGCATTTGTTGTTTGTGTTTTTTTTTTTCTCCTTACACAACAAGATTACGCAACGGTTTTCATTTGTTTCGTAAATGATGCAGGAAGTTCTTTATATGTTATTTTCCCTGCTGTAAATATGATGATAAATTTGTTTCTGCTGTATCGAAATCAACGAGCAATTAGCGCACGAACGGACTTTGTTATCTTCGAGATAAATCACTTTCAATCGTAGAAGTGCACTTTTACCAATATTCATACGATTTTAGCTACAATTCAATTATACAAAGCATTCTCAGATCTCGTTTAAAACAAAAAAAAAAACAATTACAGAAAAACCTCGAAACAACCGAAATCCCGACTATGTCAAAATCCTGACAGCTATCTGTCAAATGTGACAGTTGTTTATGAATATTGTATAAACATATTGTTTCCATTAGTACGACCTTCGAGATCGAGGAAAAACCTCGAAACAACCGAAATCCCGTCTATCGAAATCCCGACTATATCAAAATCCCAGATATAGCGAAATCCCGACTATGTCAAAATCCTGACAGCTATCTGTCAAATGTGTCACTTCATTTTGAATATTCCATAAACATATTGTTTCCATTATAACGGCCTTCGAGATCGAGGAAAAACCTTTACGTTCTTTTTTTTTTTTGGTTCATTTTCATTTGTTTTTTTTTTAAATCCGACTATATCAAAATCCCGACTACTATAATCCCGACAATCAAAATCCCGAGCTATAATCCGAATATCCCGACTATATCAAAATCCCGACTACCATAATCCCGACTTATATCGAAATCCCGACAGTGTCTTTTATTATTATAAATTTCTACAATAACATTTTTACGGTAGTCGGGATTTCAAGCGTCTGGACTTTAATACAGTCGGGATTTCAATTGTCGGTTGTCGGGCTTGCGACCATAGACCCAAAGTTTTCATGTAAGAAAAGAGATATGACGGAAACAAATGAGTCAACAGCGATAACTGCGATTAACTGTACAAACACTGAACTAAATTTATAGAGACCTAGCAGATGTACGCTACGTATTTATAGAAAATCATAAATTTCGATATTTTTAACGCTGCATGCAAATCTTTTAAAACAAATTTATCAGATTTTTATATTCGCAGCGCGAGCCAAAATCGAAGCACGATAG